GATAGGAGTAAACTCAGAGAAATTTCCTCTCAGACGGGTGAGAGAGTCGATTTAGTCTCTTGATGCAAACTGAAACTGACTAAACGACTCAAAGGATCGTGACTAAAGCAAACGGAAGTATTATTATTACTGGTTGAGAGGGAAACCATTAAGGGTTAACCTTTAAAGGAGCATTAGCTAGCTAAATATAACCAACAACATAGGTTCATGTTGACTAATTATCAAAGTGATCTATATATATATTTTTTGAGTTTTAACCGCACCAGTGGCTTATTTTATAGACAGTAGACTGACAGGAAAGGAGGTATGAGAGAGATGGAGAGACATGTGGGAAGGACCACAGGTCCGATTCGAACCCGGGTCATCCAAGTCGAGGAGTAAGGCCTCTATAAATGGGTGGTACGCACTAACTGCTGCACCACCTGCACGCCCTCGATGAATGATTTTTATCAGGTGTAAAAAAAAAAAACTTTGAAGGAGCGTTGACTAATTCTAAAAGTAATGCATAATCATAATTATTAAGTGTAAAAAAAAAAAAAAGATATGAATAAGGCCAATTATTCTATTGGCACCGCAGATCCAAGACCTGGATTTTGTTATTTGTGCAAGCTATTTTCAAATTTATTTTCAAATTTTTCCTATTCATTTAAGCAGAATATATCCTCTGTATGATCTGGTACAGACCATAACTAATATCTAATAGAACCTCATGCTAAGCCCTGATTTATAACTTCCCCTGGCAGCTTTAATGTGTAATTATTGTTAGTAAACCAAGAATATTATTTCTGAAAGGAAATCAAACAGAAAGGATGTCTCAAAACAAACTAAACAATGAAAACTGAGAATCAGATCAGAACGTTTTTCTTAATGGGAAGAGAAAATATTTACATCTTCTTGATAATCAACAAAAATCTCTATTGGGAATCAGACCATTAATATTTTTCTTTTTTTTTTTTATATATCAAAAGATTTTGACAATTTCTTTTGGAACAAAAGAAAGGAAGGCGTCTTTGCCATCACCTTGATCCTTACTTGATCAAATGGAAACAGAACACAGCGGTCAGAGGGCCAATGCACGGCAGTGAGACCCAGGCCAGCAATGGCTACCATGTAGCCAACCACCATCAGTGTGTTTGTGAATCACTGAATGTTCTTAAAGGCACTAAAAGCGCTTTATCAGTACAGGTCATTTACCATTTAACTGATTAAAAATGTGTAATTAATAAAAAAAAAAAGCATAACCTAAACTGAACGAGATGGAAATATGAAAACTATACTTTTATTATTCCTTCACTTTTAAAATTACAGTAAACTTTGTACTGTACATGACTTAGAGACATGCTTACCATCCCCCGCCTGAAATCAGGCAGTGGTGTTACCACATTCTCCAGGAAGTCAGGTGTGCAACATGTATCTTCACCCAGCCATGGAGGAACAAACTTTACCACTTCCTAAACACAGTCTGAACTTTCTTATTGTCTCATAAAACAGTGGAAAATGTGTCTGTTTTAAATAAAACGCTTTAAGACGGATGGATGCTATCAGAAACTTTTTTGGCCAACATTGAGTTAACAAACAAAGAGTCTGGAGACATTCAGTAAAAATTTATTTGTGTTATTAAATTAACTGGGGCAGTATGACCCCCGGATGGAGAGATGATCTTTTCTATTGATTTAGTTGTTTGTTGCAGTTTGAAGCTGAGATTGATGTTTGTAAAACTAAAGGAGGTAGATGGACTGATAAAAAAAAAATGTTAACATCATGTTACAAAAAATATTGAATTTCAGGTCAGGAAACTAAAATGTGACCTACACTTTTTGGATTTGCTGAAAAGTTTTCTTCACACTGAGGCTCAATTGCCCCAGTGAAGAATTCAACCAGATCATTCAGTCAGATTGGTTCAAAATTTTCTAAGAAAAA